CCCTCCCCGGCCGCCAACTCAGCCATTGTGGGCTACGGCTTTCTTCCTTGGGCGTCCGGCAGGGCAGTCTCGCCGTCAGCGGCCGCTCCAGCTCAACGGCCGGGACGGAGACCCTGGAGCTGGGCGCGCCGCACCTCTACGGCCATCACCCTCGTCCCTGCTGACAGGGAAAGCGGGACTTCCGGGATGAAGAGGCACTTCCGGGTCACCAACCGCCTCTCCGGGCACGACCCTTGCTTTTATTACGTCAAAGAACTTCTGGACTACGATATGCCCGATAACGCGGGAGGAAAGCGAAGGCAAAGGAAGGCCTCGCTCTCAAACTAGAAACGCTTGAATCGGGACCAGGGCGGACTTTCGGCTGATGGATACAAACCGGAAGGAACAAAAGAGAACGTCTTTCCAGTCTAGAAGGACCAGGCTCGGCAGGGCAGCCTAGACAGCCCTGCAGCTTTTCTTCCGTTTCAGCCTTCCTCATGATTCTGACGCCATATATGTTCTGCTAGCTGGGGCGTGCGTGTTTGTGTGGATCGCTACCTATCCTTGTTAGTGGGATTTGCAAGTAATGCATCTTTCTCCACCATCCATCATCCTAAGCAACTGTAACGTACTCCCTTTGGGGGGCATTCTAATGCAAATAACAACAACGCAAATAAGAAAGTCCTACACTGGGAAACAAGACCCTCCTTCTCTCACACAAACACACACGTTGTGGGTAGCTCGGGGAGGAGTTGAGTTTACTATATTATGCCTCCATTGTCTACTGTTCAGTCATCATTCTAAACTCTTCATATTAAGACGCTGCTGCCGCGGAAAGGACGGTCCACCACATACATTCCCGACGGCAGCAACTGCAAAGCTCGATTGAGCTACCCGTCTTCTTCGTGCCTCTGAACCTCCCCCAAAGCCCCTATTCAAGGAGGGCGCGCCCGGGTAGCACCGCCTCCATTCCGCACGTGCCCACTGCCCACACCCCTTCCTTCCCCCCCCTCCGCAAGTCGGAGGGACTCTCCCTTCCTCGCTCTCTCGTTGCCGCGAGGACGGCGCTCTATTTCCGGCAGCGCGGGACCGGGCGCTTCCGGCCAAGCGCTACTTCCGGGGGCAGGTTTCCGGCGGGGGCTGGGCTGCAGGGGCATAAGAGGGTTGCTGAAGGTGAGCGAGGAGGGATAGCCATCCTTGGCCGGTGGGCAGCTGGGTAAAGCCGGCGGGAGTGGGTGGGTTGGGTTTTCTTTCTCTTTCCCCCCTCGCCTGTCTGTGTTGTCCCTTCTAACAGCGGTAGGTTCAATGATCTTTCCTGGGAAGAGGGTTTGCAAGCGTACTTGCTTTCCGATTCTCTTTGAACACGCAACTATAAGCTAGCGGGCGTGAGCGTTCTCACGTGTGTACGTGTTGTATCCTGTTATGGCTTGCACGTAGAAACAACAACGTCCGACATCATTTGCGGTGATATAGCAGTACGAAGTGATAGCATAAGGTTGTTTCCTCAAGTGAGGGAAGTGCTATGTCGTGTTTTGTTGTTGTTTAATAAGGTCATGAGAGTGAGCTTTACAATTTTGACCTGTTTGTTAAAAAAAAAAAATAGGGCTCACTTCGGGGTAAGAGGACAGGGGACTGTAATCTTAAACTGACTTTTTGTTTAAATAATACTAAGAACTGGCCTATTCTTCCAGTAATTCTTTTCTGTTTTTCTGGCATGATGCTTCATAGGCTTTAAAAATATTCTCTAAAATGCCATTTCAGTCTTCCTTACCTTGTTGCTTGCCTTGTTTTCTGCTTTCCTAGATTGTGACAATGGCTGGTCGCAGAGCTGCTATAAAAGCAATTGACTGGGCAGCATTTGCTGAGCGAGTGCCTCCCAATCAGAAAGCCCAATTCATTGCCCTGAAATCACGCAGTGATGCTCTCGCAGCCAAGTGAGTATTTCTGAGTGAGGAAAGAGCACTTTGAGTGAAAGAATAGTATGACGTCCAGCCTTTTTCTATCTATATGTTTCTTCACTTGATGGTAGAGCTTAAGCGATCTCTGTATTAGACAGATATGGCGGATTATATGATCCAGTAACATGGTTGGAATGTAATACTGTAATATTTTGCTTAGAATGAGAAAGAGACCTTAGCTACCAGGATTACTTAGTTTATTTAATGAGTGAAATAAAAGAACACCAAAGCCTTTGTTGCTTTAAAAGGACTTTGTCAGCAAGTAAATGTAGCATTTGAAATAAATATGAGAATTATTGGATCCCTCTTAGTCTCTATTGCTCAAGTACATGTCAGCAATCTTACCGGACTCAAATACCATTGTAGAAAGTAGCACTAATTAACTACACTTGAGTGGATGATGCGAGTACTCAAATACCATTGTATCAGAATAGGTGAGAAAGTTAGTAGCCCTAATTAACTACACTTGAGTGGATGATGCAAAGAACAAGAGAGATGGGTATAGAAATAAATAGTCTGTTGTGTCCAGTAGTTTTAATGTATTTTTTTCTTTCATTTAAATAGGCTTGCTTCTTTGCCAGATACTCCCCCAACCATTGACTGGGCGTTTTACCGGACTGCAGTTGCCAAACCTGGTCTGGTAGATGAATTTGAGAAGAAGGTGAGGCTATGTTGTGACCCTTCCTGTGTTTTTCAATCTAAATGAAGGGTCTCTGGATGTCATGGAATATAGAAGTCACATTGGTTATAAAGCTGTTTGCTGGCAACTTGCTGGGCCATATTAGTAGGAGTGTTATAGCTGGGTAATTAAGCTTTAATCATATCTTTATTCTGCTGAATTGTTCGTATATTTCTCTCACTCTCTGTGCCACCACACAGAGTAACTATCAGCCTGAAGGACTAACTATCAGCCTGAAGAAAACGCAAGTCATGGGCCAGGGCGTGGGCTCACCTCCCTCTATTACCATCTCCATGTAAGAATTGGAGGTTGTCCATGAATTTGTGTACCTTGGCTCAACCATCTCTGACACTCTTTCCCTAGACGTCGAGCTGGATAGACGCGTTGGCAAAGCAGCTACCATGTTGTCAAGATTCACAAAAAGAGTATGGCTCAATAAGAAGCTGACAGCATACACCAAGATCCAGGTCTATAGAGCCTGTGTCCTGAGCACACTCCTGTACTGCAGTGAATCCTGGACCCTTCATGCACAGCAGGAGAGAAAGCTGAACACATTCCATATGCGCTGCCTCTGACGTATTTTTGGTATCACCTGGCAGGACAAAGTTCCAAATAGAGTAGTCCTAGA